TTAAGCACTTGTTGAAGAAATGATAGAATATACTACGATAGATGACAGAAATGACAGAATATCCCAGAACACCTGTGAAATAATGGATCTAAGTAAAGCTATCAATGACTAGAAACACACACACACACACACACACACACACACACACACACACACGAAAAAACACCGGCCTGGGCTGCATGGTGAGACACTGGCTCTATAAAAAACTACAAAAATTAGCCAAGCATGGTGGTGTGCATCTGCAGCCCCACTTACTCAGAAGGCTGAGATGGGAGGATCACCTGAGCCCAGGAGGTCGAGGCTGCAGTGAGCCACCACTCCAGCCTGGGTGACAGAGCAAGACACTGTCTCAATTAGAAAAAAAAAAAGAAGAAGAAGCCAGACAGTATATGTTCCCTCATATGGAAGTATAAATCTATTAAGTATTCTTGAAAAACAAACCAAATCTGGCCTCTGACTTGAATTACCAGTTTACAGAAAATACAGGGGCAGTAACAAAAATTCACCATAGGAATACAGATGGTCTAACAGAAACTCCCAGTTTAACAAATAAGTTGCAAAAAAAAAAATAATAATAATCAAGGACATACCTTTGGATTACAAGATTATAAGAGGACCAGGCGAGTGGCTCACGCCTGTAACCCCAGCACCTTGGGAGGCTGAGGCAGGCGGATCACATGAGGCCAGGAGTTCGAGACCAGCCTGGCCAACATGTAGAAACCCCATCTCTACTAAAAATACAAAAAAATTAGCCGGACATGCTGGCAGGCACCAATAATCCCAGCTACTCCAGAGGATGAGGTAGGAGAATTGCTTGAACCCAGGAGGTAGAGATTACACTGACTGAAATTGCTTCACTGCACTCCAGCCTGGGAGACAGAGCGAGATTCCTCAAAAAAAAAAAAACAAGATTACAAGAGGATTTAAGAGACATACCAACCCATTGCAATGTATGGAATTTATTTAGATCACAATTTGAAAAAAAAACTACCCCCCAAAATTTATGAGGCAGGGAAATGTAAACAGTGACTGGATATTTGCTTAAAGAATTACTGTTCTTAGGTATGATAATGGTAATGTGACTACTTAAAAAAAATAAAAGGTCCTGGCCGGGCACAGTGGCTTATGCCTGTAATCCCGACACTTTGGGAGGCTGAGGTGGCATGCATCTGTAATCCCAACTACTCGGGAGGCTGAGGCAGGAGAATCACTTGAACCAGGGAAGCGAAGGTTGCCGTAAGCCGAGATCATGCCATTGCACTTCAGCCTGGGCAACAAGAGCAAAACTCTGTCTAAAAAAAATTAAAAAAAAAATTCTTATCTTTTAGAGATATATTCTGAAATATTTCCTAATGAAATATCTGAGATTTGTTTCAATGTTATCTAAGGGGAATGCATGGAAGTATTGATGAGACAATGTTGACTATGAGCTGAAAAAGTTTAAAACAAGCTGGGCCCAGTGGCTCATGCCTGTAATCCCAGCATTTTGGGAGACTGAGATGGGCATATCACCTGAGGTCAGGAGTTCAAGACCAGCCTGGCCAACATGGCAAAACCCCATCTCTACTAAAAATACAAAAAAATAAAAATTAGCCAGGCATGGTGGCATGTGCCTATAGTCGCAGCTCCTCAGGAGGCTGAGGTGGGAGAATCACTTGAACCCAGTGGGTGGAGGTTGCAGTGAGCTGAGATCATGCCACTACACTCCAGGCTGGACAGCAGAGTGAGACTCTGTCTCAAAAATAAATAAATAAATCTGAACTTAATCATGCCTTCTAGATCTTATTAGCTTACAGAAAGAAAAAAAAAAGAGGATAAAGAGGAATATCTTTTTATTTTTTGAAGAGATTGGATTTCACAATGTTGCCCAGGCTGGTTTCAAATTCTTGGGCTTGAGTGATCTGCCTGTCTCAGCCTCTCAGAGTGCTGGGACCACAGGCATGAGGCATCTGTACCTGGCTGAAGCAGAGGATCTTAAACACCACATCAAGGATACAGTCGGCTAAATATAGAATGGGGGCAATTCTGTAGGAAAAATTATTGTTCATAAATAAGTGGCACTGAAAGAATAGGGGAACTGTTAGAGATTAAGAGAAACTTGAGAGACACAGCAACTAAATACAACGTGTTTATGTCAGTTGATTCCTGATGCAAGCCAACCAGAATTTTTGAGGCAACTGGAGAAAACCGTATATGGACTGGAATATTGGAAAGGGATTATTATTTTGTGGGCTATCACGGTATCGTGACCAAGTTGTTAAAAATGTAGTCCTGTTTCTTAGAGACACAGAAGTATGAACAGGTGAAACTAAATTGCCTGGCATGTGCTTTAAACATACCCTGGGGGCTGGGGGGAAGATGGGAAGGGGGAATATATGAAACAAAAGCAGCAGAACGTTAATAACTGTTGCAGCTTGGTTCTTTATATCTGGCTCCTTACTTGTGTGTGTTTGGAATTTTCCATAATAAAAAAGTTAAATGTAAAACATTTTTTAAAAATAAGGAAAACAAGCTCTTGCATAGGTGTTTACCGAACTGAACTCTTGGGAATTTAAGGAACTGGAAAGCCAGTCGAGGTTGGAGGCGTCGGGGAGATGGAAGGGCAGGGAAGACTCTGAGTTTGACCTGGGCCTGGCATAAGGGTGGAGGAGAAGGGAAGGGGCATGAACTAAGGCACAGTGAGGTCAAAAGCCTCATCGTGCACATGCCAAGCGCATTCCCTATTCCCATGCTGTGGGTGATGGGTGTTTGTTCCATCTCCTGACCACACTATGGGGTCTTTTAAAAAAAAATTATTATTTATTTTTATTTATTTATTTTTTTGAGACAGAGTTTCACTCTTGTTGCTCAGGATGGAGTGCAATGGCGAGATCTCAGCTTAGCACAACCTCTGCCTTCCGGATTCAAGCGATTCTCCTGCCTCAGCCTCCCAAGAAGCTGGGATTATAAGCATGCACCACCATGCCTGACTATTTTGTATTTTTAGTAGAGACGGGGTTTCTCCATGTTGGTCAGGCTAGTCTTGAACTTCCGACCTCAGGTGATCCACCCACCTTGGCCTCCCAAAGTGCTGGGATTACAGGTGTGAGCCACCATACCTGTCCTATTTTTAAATTTTTTAAATTTTTATTTCTTGATATGGAGTCTGGCTCTGTCACCAGGCTGGAGTGCAGTGGTTTGATCTCGGCTCACTGCAACCTCCACCTCCCGGTTCAAGTGATTCTCTTGCCTCAGCCTCCCAAGTAGCTGGGATTACAGGCACATGCCACCACACCCGGCTAAATTTTTATATTTTTAGTAGAGTATATATATTCTACTAAAATATGTAATATACATTTATTTATACATATTTATATTCTAAAATACATTTTTAGCAGAATATATTTTTAGGGCTTCACCATGTTGGCTAGGCTGGTCTCAAACTCTTGACCTCACGTGATCCACGTGCCTCAGCCTCCCAAAGTGGGGAGGGTCTTTTAGAAGGAAAATACCACCACTGTCCCACACTCCAGACTCTTCCTGATTCCTTCTCCCCAACTCCCATATCCCCCAAGCCAAGGTGCAGCACAGCCACCCCCCAATTGGCAATTGACACAAGGAGTGCTGGTCTATGCCTCCACCTGCTGGTGGCCACTGGGAAGTGAAGCTGCCAAAAGCCATAGGATCCCCTGAACTGAGAGTTAGGAACATTGTGCAAAGATCTGGTCTTTCCCCTCATAAAAGAAACACATGCCAATAAACATGTAAGAAAGCCTTTAATTTTATCACCATAAACATTATACTCTGATTGCTCACATACAGTATAAAATATTTACTCCGCTAAATAAATAAGACGACATTATTGCAAACGGCACTTAAATCCCCTGAGAGATAAGACCTCCTTAGCTCAGGCAGGGGGTGGTCCTGAGTTTCTGTGTGAGATTCCCCAGATATACTCTGGGGGCTGAGATGGACAAAGGCTTGGGAAACCACACTTTGTGCTTCTGGTCCTGCAATAGCTCCAAACAGGGTTGTGGAGTCAGTGGGGAAAGTTGGGGGTGGGGGAAATTTCGGGTAGTGCCTTCATCAGCCTAGTCCCAGGCCAGGTGTGGTGGCTCACACCTATAATCTCAGCACTTTGGGAGGCTGAGGTGGGTGGATAATGAGGTCAGGAGTTTGAGACCAGCCTGGCCAACATAGTGAAATCCCATCTCTACTAAAAATACAAAAATTAGCCAGGCATGGTGGCATGGACCTGTAGTCCCAGCTACTCGGGAGGCTGAGGCAGGAGAATTGCTTGAACCTGGGAGGTGGAGGTTGTAGTGAGCTGAGATCACACCACTGCACTTCAGCCTGGACAACAGAGCAAGACTATCTCAAAAAAAAAAAAAAAAATCAGCCCAGTCCTAGAAAGAGTAGAGAGGAGAGGAGTTGGGGGGAACCAGGCTGGGCCGAGGGAAGAGGGATTGTTAGGGAAGCTGCTGAGACCTGAAGCCCCACCCTCCACCTTCCTTCAAAACCCTAACCTTGGGTAACAGCATTTGGAATATCAGTTGGAACAGTAGAATTTCCAAGGTCCTGGGTTAGGCATTTTTTGGGGCCAGACCCCAGAAGAAGATTCTGGCAACGATCAGCCCAATGCCCAGCTATCTCAGGGGACCTGATTGCTGGGGATCCCACCCTACCCAAATCTTAGACACCAACACAGAAAAGCTAGCAATGGATTCCCTTCTGCTTCGTTAAATAAATAAGTTAAATATTTAAATGCCTGTGTCCCTATGATGGCAACAGAGGGACCAACAGGCCAAGGTGAGAGCTGTTGTTGTGGTGGGGGGGCATCAGCAAAAAGGCAGTGCTGTGGACTGAGGGGACACGGCTCTTGTGTACTGACCCTCAGGACTCTTTCCCCTGCAAATAACTTTCATACTTTCAAATCCCATGGAGGAGTGTTTCATCCTAGAAACTCCCACGCAAGAGCTACATTAAATGAACCTGCAAGTTAAGGGGGCTTGGAGGTGGGAAACCAGGTGGCTGAGTTTATTCAGCTCCCGAAATCCTTCTCTAGGTATGTCTCAACCGGGAGGCTAGCTGTTAACCCTGAGCCTGGGTAATCCATCTGCAGAGTCCCCGCATTCCAGTGCATGGAGTGAATCAAATGCCCTGCCCTTCTGGCCTCCCTGTAGAAGTCCAGACTGAAACCCACTTGGAAGGTCTCCAGTCTGGCAGCCCTAGAGACTGGGAAGAGGGGAAGAGGGAAGCCCCAGCCCCCAGCTGTGCAGCTACACACCTCAGCGCCACAGGGTGGCAGCAGAGAGCCACACTACTTTGGCAGCAACAGAACTGGTGGGCAGCCCAGCAGCCCCCGGTTGGGGCTAACGGGAGTGGGGAGCTGGGACCCAGTGAGGCAGGCCCTCCACCCCAATGTGCTGGAAGTATTCTACACTGAGTATTTGGCCAAGTCGTTCTTGTCAAATACTACCTGTGTAGCAAAGTAAATGGCGACCAGACCCAGGCCTGCGGCAGACACCATGTAAGCAGTGACAGACTGGCTGAGCTGGACGATGGACCCCATGAACAGGGACGGGGCCACCTGGGACAGCAGGAAGGCACTATCCAGGATGGCAAGGTCGAGGCAGATGCCCCGGCCTGGAACCACCCTGGCCTCGGCGGGCTCACCCACCACCATGCGCACAGAGACGTCACAGGCAGAGGCCCCGCAGAGCGAGGGTGAAGGTGGGAGCAGACTACTGCCTCCAGCACCCACGTGCCCATTGGGGAAGGGAGCTCCAGGCTTCGGGCCTGGCAGGAAGCTGGTCATCAGGCTGTCCTCACTGCCGGCGCCTCCAGCGTCCCCTCGGTATTTGGGCAGGAACACCTAAGGTAGAAGGGTGAAGAAAAGGGGAAGGGGACAGGTGTGTACCCAGCACTAGGACCCCCCAGATGTGAGAACAGACCCTCGCCTTCATCCCAGGGGCCAGAAAAACACAGGCAATGGGACTTCATTATAATCAGGAGCAGGAGAGAAGATGGAGACCCTATTTGGTCTGGGTCTAGATAGGACCCTTCCTCAGGAATGGGAGAAGGGTAATGGGGCAGGGCAGGGACGAGTCTGAACCCCGAAGTCTAGGACTCCTCTAGCCTCTTAGAACAGGTAAGAGGCAGACAAACCCAATACTGCAGGTCAGAAAGAGAACAGGGCTCCAAGGTAAGGAAAAGACACAGAGAGAATGAAGAGAGCTGGGAAGAGAGCTGCACAGAATAGAGGAAGAAGAGCCAAGGCAGGGCCCTGATGGCCCACACCCCACGCAGGCTCTCCTAACCTTCTTCCTTCCTGTTGCTTTGACATCGGAATCCTCATTACCCTGTGCATAGAAGCTCTGCCTCTCTGGGGTCCCAGATGCCACTGAAGTCACTGCCCTGCCATGAGGTCCCTGTCCCCAGCCTCAGGGCAGGGAGAATCCAGTAGGCCCCAAGCAGGAGAAATGCCCCTCTTCCCACCTCCCCCGGCCCCAGCCATGCTAATGTTGAAGGCTTCTCACTTCCTTCCCGCCGTCTGCCTTAGATCAGGGTGACTGGTCGAGCACCAGCCCTAGTCCCTGCCCTCGGTGGCCCAGAGCCTCCTATTTAAGGACACGGCCAGGACTTAGCCAACACTATCCCCAGGCCAGAAGTGTTGGGTTGGCTGCATTTGCGAGCCAGGAGCCATGGCAGCGCTCAAACCTGGTACCAGGGAAGCCCGCGGCTCCCCATGCAGCGCAACAAGTGGGCAAAGGAACAGGAGACAGCATGCAGTGCCAGGCCCGCCATCATCTGCTGTTAGGAAGGGGCATCCAGGACCTCTCCCTGTCTGCCACCCAGGAATGTCCATGAGGCTGGAGTCTGGACTGACTCCGAGGACGGACACGGCTAGCTCCAGAATGTTCCCTGGCACAACCAGCACGCACTCAGGCCTGGCTGCTCATGCCAGCCCTCTGTCCCCAGCCCAGGCAATCAGAAGAATAGAGGCTGAAGGTTATCAATGGGCTAACAGGAGTCTCAGGAACCAGGCGCCCCCAACCAAAACCTTAGCCCCTCCCCTCCAGGCCCCACCCTGCAGCTACCTACTCCGTTAACCAGCCTCCCAGCTGCGAACTTACCTACTTCTCCTCAAGTGCTACGAGGCGCAGGGGCAGGTCTTCCCCACAGTCTGGGAGCTCTGTGAGAGCAGGCCTGCACCTCCTCCTCCCTTGGGACACCCCAACTTCATACCCCTCAAGGCAGAGTCCAGCCCCCAGGGTTGTAACTCAGTGAGGTCAGTGGAAGGGACTAGGGTGACCACACTGCCTGGGTTAGGGGGCTTCCCAAGGAAGGGGGCGCCTGGGGGTTAGTGTGGGGCTGACCAAGAAGGAGGTCCCCACAGCTTACACAGCGTCCAAGTGAGTGGGTTAGGTGTACATCTGGGGAAGCGGAAGAGGATGAAGGCAAAGGAGAGATGCAGGAAAAGAAAAGGCAATTAGAAAAGAAAAATAAGCCAGAAAGAAAGGGGGCAGGAAGCAGCCTGCCCCATCTCAGAGACTGGAGCAGGACACAGGCTAAGCCAGGTTGCCGCTCCCTGATAAAAGAGGTGTTGCTAAGGACGGACCAGTCCCACTCCCATCTGCTGAGGCTGCGTGGGGCAGGGGTCACCTGATCCAGCCCCTGCCTCTTCATGGAACAGCCAGCCTAGAAGCCTAGGGCTCCTGTTGGCCTGTCTCTTTGGGATTCCCAGTGATGGATTTTGCATTTCCTGCAATCATCTATTCCAGTGCTTCATAGTCCTGACCCCAGGAAGTCATTCCCAGAATCTAACCTACACTCTTCTTCTGCAGCCCAAGCCTCTGGCCCTGGCACTAGGATGAGCTTCCTCTCTGATCCAAAGAAGCCTTCTCCAAAGTTGCTTGCCAATACCAGGCTCTGGGCTAGGCAGCCTCCCAAAAACCCAGACCACCCCTCCACCCACCAGCCAATGAGTACCTGCTTCTCCCGGTGGTAGAGGGAGGCCAGTGTGTAGGGCAGGATCTGCAGGGCTGAGAAGGTGAACCCGGTGAGGGCAGCTGAAGCCGTCACCACGGCCACACTGTGGGACAGGCATGTGGCACCAGCAGCCACAGGGAAAGCCGCCACACTGGCCAGATAGACTGCGCGGGTGCCAAATCGCTGCACCAGCCGGTCCATGACCAGAGAGAAGACCAGGGAGATGGCACACTGCAGGAAGAGCCCCAGACTGCCCATCCGAACACCTGGAGAGGGAGAGAGGCTATCAGCGCCTGGCGGGGAAGAGCACGCGCAGTCTCGGTGGAGATGAGAATGTGGGGCCACAGGCACCTGCTGGAGGAGACCTGCTGTGGACCCGCCCTGCTCCCCAGTGCCCTTCCCCTTCCTACCTGTAGCAGTGGGAGGCTAGGTTCTTCCACTGACCCTCAGAGGATGTGGCCAAAGCCACTTGCTAAAGGCAGAGGAAGTGGTCTAAAGGTTTACTGGGAGTCTCAGCTGTGGGGACAGGAGGCAAGAGGCAACACAAAGGTAGCTGGGAATAGGCTTCAAGATGCTTCTAGGACGTTTGAACTGGAAGGTGCTGGTGAGATTATGTGGAACATCATCGGGGGAGCAGAGGGCACACTGTGGCTGCAGCCAGGCAGATCTGAAATCCAGCCTTGACTCCTCCACTCCCTCTAGACTTTGAACAAGCTCCGCCTTTCCTTCTGCCAAATTCAGGCAATGACTCTGATCAAACTCCTAGAGCCTCTGGAGGCCCTCCTGAAACTGCGCACAGAGCTTTTCCACACCCATGAGGAACTGTGTATGCAGATGGGGTCCATCCCTGCTTTCCTGACGGAGAGGTTGGGGCCAGGATGGAGAAGAACCAGCCCTGACACGGCTCCGAGTGTCCTCTCTGGTACCAGCCTCCGCAGCCTTACCTTCATCATAGTGTCTCCGGGCCTCAGTGCCCGGCTCAGCTCGGGGCACGCCCTGGTACAGCCCCTCACCCACGAAATCCGTGTAAAACAGCGTGAAGGTCATGAGTGCCATCCAGCTGCACAGCTCAGCCATGAAGAGCCGGCGCAGGGTGCGGGGCATGCGGCAGCACAGCTGGTGCAGACGGGGAAGCAGGGCGCCCAGGTTCCGGAAAGCCAGGTAGGCCCGGCACGGACAGCAGCGAGGCGGCAGGGAGGGGGCTGACAGTGCTTCTGCGGGCTCGGCTGGGCCCAGCGCCGCCTCCTCTGCCACCAGCAGTGTGGCTGCTACACAGGTGAGGAAGATGAGGGTGAGCAGGCCAAAGAGGCACTCCTCCTGGGTGCCCAGGTAGGGGGCGAGGGCACTGGTGTCCCAGTCAATGGCAGGTAGGAGGTAGCCCAGGCAGCCCCCAAGACTGATCATGAAGGCATAGACGGAGTAGGCCTGGCGACAGTGGTCCGGGTCCCGGAATAGGTCAGAGAGCAGGGCCTCCAGTGGGGTGAAGCACACCTGGCCGCAGAAATCCAGCAGCCCCACACCCAGGATAAGCAGTGCCAACTCCAGGGGCCTGGGATCCGGGCACAGCAGCCCTGCCAGCCAGCCGGCCCTCGGGATGACAAAGAGGCTCAGCAGGATGCCCAAGGACAGCGCCCAGATGAAGGGCCGCCGCCGGCCATAGCGTCCGCGCCAGTGGTCACTGGCTGAGCCTAGGAGCGGGACAGAGACCAGGCCCAGCACTGGACCAATGCCTGCAAGAAGGGGAAGCAGTATGAGTCAATGGCTAGGACTACTGAAGGGCAAGGGGAAGGAGAACTAAGCTCTGCGAGAAGCTTGGAAATGACATTCTGTACTAGACACTGCACTGTACCTTCACAGGGGTGCTGTGATTTACTCCTCCTGACATGGGTATTACAGATGCCCCCATTTTCTTTCTTTCTTTCTTTCTTTTTTTTTTTTTTGAGGCAGAGTTTCACTCTTGTTGCCCAGGCTGGAGTGCAATAGTGAGATCTTGGCTCACTACAACCTCCGCCTCCGGGTTCAAGCGATGCTCCTGCCTCAGCCTCCTGAGTAGCTGGGACTACAGATGCCTGCCACTATGTCTGGCTAATTTCGTATTTTTAGAAGAGACAGGGTTTCTCCATGTTGGTCAGGCTGGTCTCGAACACAAGACCTCAGGCGATCCGCCCGCCTAGGCCTCCCAAAGTGCTGTGATTACAGGCGTGAGCCACTGCACCTGGCCAGATGTCGCCATTTTCAGATGGAAAGACTGAAGCATGGAGCAACTAAGAATTGATACTTACACAAAGGCACAGAACTAGGGAGGGTAAGAGACAGCATTTCAACAGGCAGTGTGACTCCAGAGCCTGCGGTCCTCACAGGGACCCCTCTCCCTGGGGGTGAGGGATTGTCACACAATGGTGGCTACTTGCCTTCTGTAGCTTTTGTAGAATTTATCTGCAGAGTCAGGAGCCCACCCCTTGTCCTAGGGGTAAGAGCAAGCCCTGGCTGGGAGACCTTGATGGAGTACCAGCTCTACTGTTCAGCTGCTATTCGGCCTTGGCTAAGGCTTACCTAACCTCTTAAAAGCCTCTGCTTCCCTCTCTGTAAAATGGACTACCTCAAATGGTGGCTGTAAGCATTACATGAGGTAATAGATCATAAAAGGGCTAGCCAAAGGTGAGGAGCATTTCTCCAGTGTCTCCTATGAGCCAGCCACTGAGGACCAGGGAGCCACAGGCGACTGGGGTATGTCCTTGGTATTCTCTTTTTTCTCTTGGTGTGCCCCCTCAGCCCAGGGTCATTCTCCTGCCCAGCACTGCCTACCCAGCAGACCACCTCTCCCTCCAAGCAGCTCCCAGGGGAGAGGCACTCCTGTCCTGCATCCCAGGTGGCACACATCTGGAGCAGGAAGGAAGGAGGGCCGTAGTGACTCACCCAGCACCATGGTCATGAACTTCTCCTCCACGCCCACTTCCAGCAGCAGAGGCGGCACATAGGTGATGCCTGCGGCCAAACACACCTCCAGGCCAAAGGTTAGCAGGTTGACCAGCAGGAGCTGGGCTTTCCGGTGCCGCAGCAGGCGGCTCACCCACAGCCTCTGGACCATGGTGGGCCAGGCGGGTAGGGCTCAGGGGGCCGTTCAAGCCCTCCAGAACTGCTTCGTCTCAGCTCTGCTCCAGAAGCCGTGGCCTCTCCTCCTTGCTGCCGCCAACTGCCTAGGAGTCAGCCAGATGCCCATTTCCGCCAGCCCTTTGGTGCCAGTCCAGCTTCTCAGCCCATGCTCGACACCTGCTGCTGTGGGGCACCTCAGCGGGGACACATCTCATCACTCAGATCCTAGAAGGGCAGGGCAATCACAAGCACATCGGTGTTAAGTCCTGGGAGCCAGGTCTCCAGGATTTGCTCTAAACTGTCTGGATCCTGATCATTCACAGGCTGGCGACTGAGGTGCCACCCCCTGCTGCCTAGCCAGGAAATGCATGTTAATATTAGTCTAAGGCTGACATAATTAATAAGGCAAATATGATTTTTTAGGCCTCAGCACACTGCAGAGCCAAACAGGTGTTGGTTATTCTCTGTTTTTGAAAAATCTACAATTGGCTTTGCCTGCTAGGTTTGGATGAGGGCAGAAATCAAACCAACTGAATTTTTAGTTGCGCAGGCCCAGCTATCAAGGTGCCCCTGGAGACCCCGTGCCAGGCCTGGATGTTTGCTTTTCTCTTTCTACTCCCCAAACCTGGGCTGTTCAATTCCCTCTCGTTAAGAGTAACATATCCTATTCCGCACCGCCTGGCCAGGAGCCAGACTGCACCACGACACCTACCCGCAAAGACCAGAATGAAGGGAAATGGGAGCAGAGGCTGTGTGGCGCTGGGTCGAGTTTTAGAGAAGGCTCCCTGGGATGAGCCCAGGCCTGAACATCTCTCCCTTGAGATTCTGCCTGAGTTCAGCGTTCATGGGGAAGAAACAAGCCCACACATGGCTGTCCAGCTGTCATGGGAGAGTGGAGCCGTCCCCAGGTTCTAGCTCACAGGGGCATGAAGCCGTACCACCTGGCAACACCTGTAATGATACCAGTGACCTCCCCGAGCTGGCAGCATGCCCAGCCACTTCCAGGGCAGCCTTTCTGAGCTCCTTAAATGGCAGAGAAAGGAATTTTTCTATCCTCCTTAAATTTTCAGCAGAGAAGCCTCACACCCTTTCCTAGTAGCTCTGCCTCCTGTGCAGAGAGAACCATCCTATACCTGCCCCACCAGGCAAGCGGCCTCCAAGTCTTGCTTCCTGACAGTACACCCAGTGCAGTCTCCTCGGCTTAGAAGTGACTATGAAAAGCTGGGATTGGTGGTGCATGCCTGTAATCCCAGCACTCTGAGAGGCGGAGGTGGGCAGATCACCTGAGGTCAGGACCAGCCTGGCCAACATGGTGAAACCCCATCTCTACTAAAAATACAAAAATTAGCCGGGCATGGTGGCAGGCACCTAAAATCCCAGCTACTTGGGAGGTTGAGACAGGAGAGCTGTTTCAACCTGGGAGGCGGAGGTTGTAGTAAGCCGACATCGTGCCACTACACTCCAACCTTGTCAACAGAGCAAGGCTCCATCTCAGAGAAAAAAAAAAAAAAAAAAAAAAAAAAAAGAAGTGACTACAAAAGAAGGAATCAGGTCAGGCATCAAGAGTAGGTACTACAGAGGGTGAGCCTTGGTGAGGAAAGGCAGGAAGCTCCTTATCGGTTATCCATCCCAAAACAGAGGAAGGGGACAGAGCTTCCTGGTACTCATGGCTGGAGCACCTTCCTTCTCCTCCCCAATTCAGTCCCGTAAATGCTACTGAAGGGCAGCTACTCTGGTGCAAGGACCACAGCGGGTGAGGGCCTGGCTCGTCTCCTCCACCAGAAACCACCCACAGCCCCCACTCATGCCCTCCTCCAACCTCAGAACCTCATAATAAAAGGTGCTTCAACTTCTCTTTTCACATATACTAAGCCCCATGGGGCCTTGCATGTTACAAAGCATGTTGTGGTGCTCTGAGCTGTGCCACAGAGAAATCAGACAGGGCTGGGTGTGGTGGCTCACACCTGTAACCCCAGGGCTTCGAGAAGCCAAGGCAAGAGGATCGCTTGAGCCCACGAGTTTGAGACCAGCCTGGGCAACACAGCAAAACCCCATCTCTACAGAAAAATTAAAAATCAGCCAGGCATGGTAGTACACACCTGTGGTCTCAGCTACCCAAGAGGCTCAGGTGGGAGGATTGCTTGAGTCTGGGAAGTCGAGGCTACAGTAAACAGTGATCGTTACCACTGTCCTCCAGGTCTGGCTGACAAAGGGGGACACTGTCTAAAAAAAAAAAAAAATCAGCCGGGCACGGTGGCTCAAGCCTGTAATCCCAGCACTTTGGGAGGCCGAGGCAGGTGGATCACGAGGTCAAGAGATCGAGACCATCCTGGTCAACATGGTGAAACCCCATCTCTACTAAAAATACAAAAAATCAGCTGGGCATGGTGGCGCGTGCCTATAATCCCAGCTACTCAGGAGGCTGAGGCAGGAGAATTGCCTGAACCCAGGAGGCGGAGGTTGTGGTGAGCCGAGATCGCGCCATTGCACTCCAGCCTGGGTAACAAGAGCGAAACTCCGTCTCAAAAAAAAAAAAAAAAAAAAAAAAAAAAATCAGATGGCTATCAGTCCTGGGTAAGGTCTGTTCACTCTATTACCACTTTCAGGGGCTTTGCAGCTGGTAGATCATGAGGGAAGGGAATTGAGATAAGGCTAGGCAACCAGAAGCCTCCTCCCTAAATCCTGCTCAGATTCCCGCTTTGGGATGGGGCACAGGGCCTCCTATGGAGGTGGCATGATGAGGCCTGTAAAATACTGCCCCGTACTATCTCCAAAAGGAAGGTGGAAGGCCAGCCGCCAGTCTTAGCTGAGCTGTCGTAGGTTCAACTTGAGCCCCTCGTTGCTGCATTTCCACCGTGCCCCCAAGAAGGAAAGCAGGAGACAGCACAGAGACCAAGAGGCAGTGCTGCCCAGGCTAAAGGGAGGTGTTCTGCGGCCCAGGGATTCCAGCCCCTTCCACTCCCCACCCTTGTTCTGGGAGGGCCATGAATGCTAGCCTGCTCTGGGCTTTCAGGAGACCAGGTCCTCCTTGAGCAAACAGAGACTTTGTTAGACCCAGCCTCGCCCATAACCTGCACCCATTCTCCAAGTCCCAGCTGCTCCCTATTTTTTAAAATAAATTTCAGGCCAGGCACAGTGGCTCACATTGGTAATCCCAGCACTTTGGGAGGCTGGAGTGGGAGGATGGCTTGAGGCCAGGAGCTTAAGAACAGCCTGGGCAACATAGCAAGGCCTTCTTTCTACAAAAATAAAAATAAATAGGCCAGGTAAGGTGGCTCATGCTTGTAATCCCAGCACTTTGAGAGGCTGAGGTGGGCAGATTACCTGAGGTCAGGAGGTTTGAGACCAGCCTAGTCGACATGGTGAAACCCTATCTCTACCAAAAATACAAAAATTAGCTGGACATGGTACTGTGTGCCTGTAATCCCAGATACTGGGGAGGCTGACGCAGGAGAACTGTTTGAACCTGGGAGGTGGAAGCTGCAGTGAGCCGACATCACGCCATTCCACTCCAGCCTGGGCGACAGAGCAAGATTCCATCTCAAAAAATAAATAAAATAGAATAAAAAATAAAAGTAGCTGGGCATGGTGACATGCACCTATAATCCCAGCTCCTCAGGAGGCTGAGGTGGGAGGCTCTCCTGAGCGCAGGCGTTCCAGGCTGCATATGAGCTACGATCATGCAACTGTTCTCCAGCCTGGGGAACAGAGTGAGACCTGCTGTCTAAAAAATTAAAAAAAACAAAATTAAACCACAGCTCTCCAGCAACCATTAATCACCTCATCTGCCTTGCCCCTCCCTTAATCCAGTTCCCAGGCCCCCCAGGAATGAGCAGGATCCTTCTTAGCCCACATGGGAAAAAAGACACAAAGGGGTAAGGAGAAGAGTACCCCCATCCTCCTGCAGCCCAGGAAGTTCATCAGTAGCCTTCCCATTCCTGGGGTGCCTTTCTCCAATGCCCCCCACCCCTACCTAGAGATTCTTTACCTGGTAACTAGGGCTTGGGCCAGGTGGGGAAAGGAGTTGACTAGGAAGGCAGCAGTTCCAAGCACCCCCGTATTCTTTGGTTGCAGGGCCCGTCCTCCCTCTTTTGACTTCAACTCTGCCCAGGTGGTCCAGAGTACTCTTGCCACCTCCAGACTTGACTCTGCCCAGCCCAGAATTGCCTGAGGAGTTCCAACCCCATAAGTGCACGCTACCTCCAAAGCCCCCTTTTCTTATGCTTGCATCTGTTCCCGTGCCCCAGTCCCTATTACTTCATCCCCACTCCAGGGTCCTCCAGTTAAGGACACCATAGAGGACTCTTGAGCACTAAATCCAGCTGCCCGCCATGCCCTCCAGGGCCTTCTTCCCTGGAGCACAAACAGAGGAGCCCAGGCTCTCTCAGTTCTCAGGCTCAGGGAGGTCAGAGAACAAGAAGTCTTTCAGTACCACTTTCCTGGCCACCACTCCCATCAGCAGCCCCAGGGCAAGCTTCTTGCCAAAGCATGCAAGTGACAGATCAGTGTTGGAACCCTGCCTCCTGCCCCAAGTCCTCCTGCCCCAAGTCTGGGGAACTCCCGCGTCCTCCTGAGGACAGGGTCCAATTCTCCCCTATACCCTCCAGTCCTGGAGATGCTTCTGATGAAAATCCTCTTGCCCCACTACTCCTGGAACACTTTGCCTGGCAAAGACAAGATCAACCAGAAGAGCCAGCCTCACAGCATTCACCTGGCAAGGAGTGGGCAGGAAGAGGAGGGAAGTGGAGGGCTGACCTCTCAGAAAGGCAAGGAACAAGGAGGCAGCCTTCTAGGACAAGTCCCTCTCAAGTTCCAACTATCTCCCCTCCTCTCCAGACCCAGCAATGGCAAGACAGCAGGAAAGCTGGAGAATGCCCAAAGCCTCTGGGAACCTTTGTGGAGCTCTGCCCAGGCCACCCTTCCTCATCCTTGGGGGAACAGAATCAAAACCCAGACAGGCCAAGGGCCCTGAGCAAGGTCAGTGAACCTGGATCCTTACTGCCCCGCTCCAAGTACTGGGAGATACATGCCTCTATGCATCCCAATATGTGGCACCCCCAGGGCCCTAGCAAGAAGAGGAACAGGGAAATGTTTACCTAATGAATGAGTGGTTGAAAGCAAGGGGAGGCAGTAGAAGCAAAGGTGAGGGCTTAGGTCCTCCTCCTCCCACGTGCTCCCCACACACCAAGGACTTTCCAGGCCCAACTCCAGAGGGAGCAACTCCTACGGGCTCAAAGATGGTGAGTGGCCCAGATAAACCCTCCTGGATTGGAAAGCCCCCATTCAGACCAGACCCTGAGCAGGGAGTTTGGGGGAAATGAAACTGAGCAACAGGAACAAACTTGGCCTGAACTTTGTCCAAAATACAGAAGACAGGGTGGCAGAGGAGGAGGAAAGCCGACCCGAGCCCGCTCCCTGGTAGCTCCCTCAGGGAAGGGAGGGTCAGAGGGGGATGTATAAAGAGGCCTTTGAGGGCTTTCAAAGGGGCTCCTGCCACCCCGCACGGCTGAGGTGGAGCTGGGGGAGCAGAGCTGGGGGAGCAGATTCCCTCCGCAGACAGACAGAGGCCAGTGGAAGCCCAGGCTGGGGTAGCCCCCGCCCCAGGCCTGTGTCAGGCAGCAATTCTAAGGCCTCTTTATGCAGGCCAGCATCAAACCCCACCCAGGCACATCAAACAGCCGCAGCCCCCACCCTGACCCCGCAGGCTGGGCGACCCTGCGTCTTCCCTGCACACTCACAAAGACCCACTGCTTTCTCCCAGGCTCCTCAGAAGCAGCTCCGCTCCCCTTCACAGCCACCCTGCAGCCCTCCCTGCAGAAGGGGAAACTGGGGGCTGGCGAGGCACGAGGAATAATGACTCAGCTGAGGCAAGAGGGTGGGGTCACCCTGGGCCAACCTCCCGGACACACACCCCACCAAGGCTGCCCTGCCCCAGATCAGTGTGATGGCCAGGAAGGGGGCGACCCCAGGGCCTTGCTCCAAACTGAGCTCTCCAGGGTCCTCTAGCTTGGGGGCAGGGAGTGGACCTCTCGGGTCTGAGGGTTCCCCAGGCCACGTCCCCAATACCCACCCCCCACTAGCCCCAGTCCGAGGAAACATCCCCATTACCTACCCCCCCACTAGCCCCAGTCTGAGGGGACCAAGGCTGTCACCTTACCTAATGAAACCTGGCACACCGCACTCCCCACATGAGCCACACCCTCACAGCAGCTCCATAGGAGCCTTGGGGGCACCCCAGCCAGGAGACCTGAAAGCAGGCATTCTAGTGAGGCAATGAGCTCCCTATCACAACAGATCCCGTTTGTGAGGGGTGCTGTGTGCCTGGGCTGCTGGGGAGATGGCAGGAGGTACATGGCGTTAGACAGCCATGGCTTTGGTGACCCCCAACCCACTCAGTCTTTGATTCTTCGGGACCAAATATTTCCAAAGCAGTGAGGATCTCTGCTTTCCCCAACCCTGCCCTAGAAAAAAAACAGTGATTTTCAGAAAGAGCGGAGGCCCACAATCTCGCAGGGCCCCCAGGGGCACCTGAGGACCCCACTCAGAATGAAACCTCCCAACCTCAGGGACTCCTAAGAAAGAATAATGGCCGGCAGTGGGAAGGGGGACCCCAGCCGCACCCCGGACTTGCTCCCTGGCGCCTGCCTCCCCCAGGGCCCGGAGGCCAGGGATTTAGAGTTCGCCCTGCTGAGCTGCCTTTTCTTCAGCGGGACTGGAAGCCTTCTGCTTAGCAGCTTGTCAGAGAGGGTGAGGGGGCTGCAGGCCGGGACACAAAGGGGGATTAGGGAGAAACCCCTCGGCCTGCAGAGTAATCCATCAAACTCCCTTGGGCTGCCAGCGCAGGCCCCTTCCCACTCAATTCCCCTTCCAGCTGCTGCTGGCCCCCACCCCCTCCGGCTCCTGAGCCCGTCACTTCGGGCAGCAAAGAGAATCCCAGGCCCTAGGGGGGCAGAGGGGGCACACCACAGACACTGGGAAAAGGGCAACAGCTCCCTCCTCCCCCCACCCTCAATGTGTGAAAACCCAACAGGTGGCAGTGGCGTGGTGGAGAGTGGCTTTTGTTGCCCTGTCTGAGAGCCCCAGTCCAGCTTTGGAAAGGAAACAAATGCCAGAGGAGATTGGGGGAAGGGGAGGGGAAGGGACAGAGGGGACGGGACAGAGGGGACGGGACAGAGGGGCAGTCCCTGGAACCAGCACTGCACTCCCCTCCCCTCTCCTACCCAGTGACAGGGATTCTGGGGCTGGCCTGACCCTCACCTTGGCCAATCAGTCCTGGATAGCCTAAGCTGGGGCTGAAGCATGGGGACCCTCCCAGGGGTCACCTGGCAATCCCATGGTGACGGTCAATACAGGCACACATTCTGACTCCAGGCACCTGGGCCTCCCAACCACACTGAGAAGAGCCGCAACCCAAGGTCACACTGGGCATGCCCTCCAAGGGACCAGCAGTGCTCTTCAACCTGGAGCTCTCTTCCACCCAAGGGACCACAACCTTCTGAGTCCTGCCGTCCCCAAACCCTGGCAGACTCTGCCGGGTCACCTGGGTTTGGGAGTCTGCCTGACCTGGCTTTGCACGCCAGCTCCACCATGTATTATAACTGCATGAGCCTGTAACCTGACCTCCCCAAGACTCAGTTTCCTCATCGACAATGAACGATAGCAGGCCGGGTGTGGTGGCTCACGCCTGTAATCCCAGCACTTTGGGAGGCTGAGGAGGGCGAATCGCCTGAGGTCAAAAAGTTTGACACCAACCTGGCCAAAATGGTGAAACCACCATCTCTACTAAAAATACAAAAATTAGCCAGGCCCAGGCATAGTGGTGCAAGCCTGTAATCCCAGCTACTACTCGGGAGGATGAGGCATGAGAATCGCCTGAAACCAGGAGGCCGAGGTTGCAGTGAACAGAGATCGTGCCACTGCACTCCAGCCTGGGCAACGGGGTGACTCTGCCTCAAAAACAAACAAAAAAACACAAAACAGAAGACAGGAAACAAAATGCACAACAGCAGCCAACTCTGAGGTTATAATACATGCCAGGCACTCTGCCATGAGTCTTAGTCTTCCAGTGATGCGATGAGGTGGGTACAATTAGTATACCCATTTTACAGGCACGGAAATGTAGATTAATATCACCAACTTTGCCAGGTGAGGTGGCTCACACCTGTAATCCCAGCACTTTCAGAGGCCAAGGCAGGTGGATCACAAGGTCAAGGGATCGATACCATCCTGGCCAACATGGTGAAACCCCATCTCTACTAAAAATACAAAAATTAGCTGGGCATGGTGGCAGGCACCTGTAATCCCAGCTACTCAGGAGGCTGAGACAGAATTGCTGTCTCAGCCTCCTGAGTAGCTGGGATTACAGGTGAGAACTGCTGAGACAGGAGAACTGCTTGAACCCGGGAGGCGGAGGCTGCGGTGAGCCGAGATTGTGCCACTGCACTCCAGCCTTGTCAACAGACCAAGACTCCATCTCAACACAAACAAACAAAAAACACCAACTTCGTAGATGTAGAACGTGCTTGAGATACAGGTATGAAAGTTCTTGGTGGCCACTTCTTCGGTCACCTCCTCAGGGAGGTAGGGCTTTCTCATTCCCAACCAGGAGCAGCCCTGGTTAGGGGAGACCAATTACACTTTCTTCTCGGTTTTCTTATTCCCCTCTCATCCATGTGCCTCCCCCACCGCACTAGCGCCTCTTTCAGCCCCTAGCAGCAAGAGGAATGCCAAGAATGTAACTGCCTCCCCAGGTGCTGGCCCCAACAGGTGAGGAGAGGTCACTGCAACAGACCTGCCTGCTGGAGGAAGGCTGAGCCGGGAGGTGGAAGGTGGGACAAAGATCCCATAGTTAAGAGACAGCGTGATTTCCACCCACAGGGAAATTGAACACGGTGGCCGATCCCTACTAGCTGCCTCAGAGGCGTCTGGCATGTGCTAGGTACTTGATAGACTGTACCTTCTCTCTAATCACTCATACAATTCATACACTCCAAATCCAAGAGAAGTATTTAATATTCATATTCAAGGATGAGCAGCTCAGAACATAACATGCCAAGGCTGCACAAATAAACAGTGGTTGAGCAGACTATTCAAACCATTGGAAAATGCCGAAAGGTGCTCTGAACTGGGAGCCAGGAGAGAGCAGTCCTGTTTCAACAACTTGTTTTTATAGCTGTGTAGTCTAGACAGGCCATCTCGCCTCTCTGGGACTCAGTTTCTGCACCTGTAAAATGAGAGCTCATCCAGATAAGGCCAAGGGTTCTTTCCATCTGTGCAGCCAGGCGATCTCACATACGTCCTGGCGATCTCACACGCATCCCAGAGATCTCACACGCGTCCCGGCGATCTCACACGCGTCCCGGAGATCTCACACGCGTCCCGGAGATCTCACACGCGTCCCGGCGATCTCACATGCGTCCCGGAGATCTCACATGCATCCCCTACCCCCGTAGGTGCTTTTTCACAGGCAGGTACCCCCAAAGGCTCACTGACGAGGCTACATGGCACTGAGGAAGGCATTTATGTTCACAACAGGAATACAAAATCCATACTTTGTATTTGGACTTTCATGGCCTCCCACAAATGAGTCAAGGGGAAGCAGGTTGAGAAGTGCGCCCACCTGCACTTACCCCATCCTTGTCTGCCCAAACACTCTCAAGTACCAACAGAGGGCCAAGGGTCAGCGGTCACCTGAAACTGAGCCAAGTAACCAGGACATCTGGGGGCAGAACTGCCCTCTTCCCTAGTCCTTCCCAGAGTTGGACTCTGTTCCTGGCAGAAATTAGTAACTGAATTCTCTCCTTAGGCCACAATAAATGCTTCCCTACAAGGTGGGGCAGTACGAAGAAATTCCTTGGTCCAAAGTAGGGGAAGAACATGGGAGGGGAAGAGGGAGCTTGGCACAGTGTCCAGGCCGCTCGGAAGTCCCTCCCCCCATCCTGCCTTTTCCTACAGCCCCTGTAAAGAGAAGCCTCAGTGGCCTTCCTCCTGCTGAACTTGAAGCCTGCCAGTCAGCCAGCCAGACAGCTCTCCCCATCCACGTATAGCCAATCGTGGTCTTCCCTTTAGCCTGGCCTCCCTTAGGAGGTGAGGTGTATAGGAAAGAGGCCAGGAGACTGAGGATCTGGGCAGACCTACAGATGAGCAGCGCCCTGGACCTAAAGTCAGACCACGGTGCTGGTTCCAGCCCTGCCATGTCCCTCCTCGAGGGTTTCAAACACAGTGGCCAGTAAGCCTTTATTAGACCTGAGTCCTAGAGGCTGTGACTGGTCGCATTTATAATCAGAGGGCTCCAAGTCAGACTCGGTTCTCTGCAAGTGTGTTCTCAAAAACACTTCCTCCGTGGTGAGCAAGGAAAGAGTGGGACCCCAAAGAAACTCATTTTCACAATTAAGGATCCCAAGCTTGCTGACACTTGGAAGTATACCTCAGTGCACACAATCTAACCTCCCCTAAGGGAACGTCAAACAGCACTGAAATCCATCCACCCACCCAACACCACAGAGCCTCAATTGTGCGTAAACCCGCTGTGAAGGTGCTGGGGACACGGCAACAACTGATCGCAGCTCCCTTTGGCAAAAGGGATAAAATGCAATAAAATGCAATCAGTGTGCAACAAGGTAGCACAAGTGTGAAGACATAAATCCACGGTGGGGGGGGACTGAAGGTGGGGG